TATCTTAAAATATTTCAAAATAAAACATTATAAAGGAGGTCGACTACAGAATACATATTTAAGACAAAGTTAACAAAAAAACTTGAACGTTTCAAAAGAAAACATTGCTAAGTGAAGCCAACTATAAAATGCACATTGCAAACAGCATAGTTTACAAGCCGGTTGACTGACTGAACCCAAAGAGTACTCCTTAATGGTTCCTCAAATCCTCTATTACAGCAGTTCATTGCTGCCTCTTGTGGCAGTGAGTTCCATAGCTTAATTCCTCACTGTGCGAAGGGTTTCTTTTATATATCCTGACTCTTCCACCATTCAGCTTCCTTTGACGCCCCCGAATTCTAGCGCTAGGAGAAATAAAAAGCTTTTCTCTACCTACTTTCTCCACACAATGCACAATTTTATAATCGTTTCACTTCTTACTTGCTTTTTCTCCAATTCCGCGACCTTTCTGCACAGCCGAGTTCTTCCATCCCCTCGATAATTTGGGCTGCCCTTTTCTGAAGGTGGGGTTGGGACCACTGGGTGCAAAGTGCAACTTCTGGAAAATCTCATTTATCCCTTCTTTGGGGAGAGGGAAGTTTCCAGCCCCGAAGAGCAGAGCAGACACTTCAACGTGGATGTGAAGTCTCTGAAAACAGAGAGGAAGGTGACCAGGGGTCAGAGAGCGGGGCTTGTCCCTCCCCAGGACTTGGAAAACATGGTACATCGGCGGCAGCAGAGCTCCACGACTCTCGTGACCTGCACAACCAAAATAAATGGTACATAAGTGCTTTTAAAAATGAAGAAGCACACCTTTTTATGGTCCACAATTCTTTTGTTTTGCTGTGGAGAAACAAGCAGGCCTGGACGTCTCTTGCAAATGCCTCACTAAGTAGGGCCTACTAATCATCAGGGAACATCTTCTCCCCAGGGACTGATTTCTTGTTTCGTTTTTTCAAAGGAAGAACAGAAAAAGATAACAAATGCAGAATTGTTCTTTTATTGTTTATAAGGTGTGAAATATACTCGGAGTCGAGAGTGGATTTCATGCTCTTTATTCAGCTCATAAGTGGTGAGGAGGAATGAATGTTCCCCACAATATCTACTTTATATACATTATTTACACAATGGGCCCCACATTATTGGCTAATGGATACTGTTAAACAATACTGAAGTATCAGATCTGGAAGGACGTGGTAATAGATTTTGGTTAGCATGCTTAATTTTGGTATGAGAAAACAAAGGTGCATGAGGGATTCCTGAACCACATTATAAGGAAATCAATTCACCAAGTATGGGACAAATATAAGAATTTATTAGAGAACAAGACACCTTTGTGGCTTTCCCCATTAGAAACCGTATCTGTAAAAAGAGGTAAACACGAAACTGGGCAACATACAAAGATCTGTTAACAGAAGTGGAAACAAATTAAAGGTGAAAAATATGAGGATATAAAAGCTGTGTTAACAGGTTGGTTACAATATTGCCAAATAAATGACATATTCAGAGGTGACAAAGAGAAGGACTTTGGGAAGGAATTCTCAAAGTTCAAAAATGAATTATTAGAAAATATGAGAAATTGTTATCAAGAATGTACAAACCACTTGGAATGGGAGACGAAAGATGAAGAGGTTAAAGCTGTAATGATACACTTGGGCAAAACACATAGGTTATAATATACCACTTGAATAATAGGAAAGCTGTGGAAAGAGATTTTAAAATTCACGGCATGTAGTTCATTAAAAGAAATTATATGAAGATGATATACTGATGGTATTTGACTCCAGTAAAGCTTGCTGAAATGTATAAAGAGATCTCTAATTTATGCTGGAAATGTAAGGATAAGGAAGGAACTATTTTTTCATATGTGGTGGACGTGTAAAAAAGTAAAGGGCTTCTGGGAAATGATACACAATGAACTTTTTTAAAATTTCTTAAAATTACGTTTGTTAAAAAAAACAGAGCTTTTTTATTAGGAGTAATAGTAGAAGAATTGCCAAGGAAGCAGAAGAGACTGTTTATTTATGCAACTCAGTGGCGTAGTGTTGGGGGATGCAGGGGGGGGCCGGGCGCAACATCTTGGGGGGGGGCGCTCGCCGCCTCCAGAGTCGCCAAAGAGCCTCGGGCGCAGGCTGTAGCAGAGCCCCATGGCTGCAGCCCAGGCAGCAGCAAGAAGAAGCTGGCAGCGCGGCAGGTTAGGGGTTAGGGGCGCAAATTACTTGCCTTGCCCCGGGTGCTGACAACCCACGCTACGCCACTGATGCGACTACAGCAGCCAGAATGCTACTAGCCCAGATGTGGAAAGAAGGAAAGGTCCCAACGAAAGAAGAATGGATGACTAGATGACTGGCTAAGAAATATAATTATATGCAAGGTGAATAAAGGGGGGGGGAATGGAAACCAGGGGGGCAAGGGGGGGAGCCATTTATTGCAAATTTGGATTGGATATCTGTGTACCAAAAGGAAAAATGTTATTTTGAAAATTGAAAATTAGAAAATATATTTTTTTAAAAAATAGTTTAGAAAACGTTTTGGGGCGCCCGTGCAGCTGATCCAGCGGGGCTTTCCGGAGGCGAGACCAGCGCCTCTCCTGCTTTCTGCCCGGAGAATCCCAGAGGCTCCTGCCGCTCGGCTCCGAAACGGTTAAGAGCAGCGGCGACAGAGCTGAGATTCCTAGAGCGGAAGGAAAAAAAAGGCTGTCGGGAGAATAGCAGCTTCCGCTTCCTGTCCCGCTTTTGGCGGGTGGCAGATGCCGGTCATGGCGGCGGCTTTCCTTCCTCGCGGAGGCGCTGGAGGTGGGTCATATTGTTATATATTATTACGGGGGGGTGGAGTGGGGGTGCTGCTGGAGGGAGTTGTGGGGAGGGATTTTTTTTTTTAAAAAACCCTGTTAGGCAAACCGTTTCAATGTAAGTTTTTTTTCTTTGTCTCTTTTTTCTAGTCGTCAGTTTATCCAGATTTTCACATTTTTAAAGATCTCTTGAAAATTGTTCAGCATTTTGGTGCAGATCTCGCCTAATGCTCACGCTTTTGCAAAGGGTATTTCCCCAAATATTTACATTTCCCATAATTAATGCATTTTCAATTTAATTCCGCTAAAATAATGCATTTATATGGCTTTCCCCTTTGTATGGGGGTAGGACATCTTTTCCCAATGGAAGGGAGGATCTTTCTCCTCCTCTCCTCCCTGCAGGCCAACTTGGGCAGGTGGGGGACCTTCCTTGGGCTCCCCATAGGGCTTGGGGTCAAGGCAAAGCCTTAAGCATTGGGAAACCTACTTCAGGGGCTGCCCCTGGAACCTGTAATAATTTTTATCCGGCCTGATTTTATTATAATTTATTAAAATTGTATACCTCCCTGTACCCACAGGCCTTAGGGCAGTTCACAGGATAAAATCGCAATATAAAAACTCAAAGTACACAATCAAAACATAAACAAAATCAACCCAATAACCCCCGCAAACCACACACATTTTAAAACATTTGTGTTTCAATTAAATACAGCAGTTCTGGGCAGAAGACGTTAAAAAGAGGAGAAACAAGCAACTTCAAGTCCACATTAAAATTCCAAGTGTGGCTGAGGCCTTAGTTAGACAGGCTACTACTACTACTACTCCCAACACCCCTGAGCACCCTCTCCCACCAGTGTCTTGCCTCGGTAATGGACTGGATGAGAGCCAACAAATTGAAGCTCAATCCAGATAAGAGTGAGGCTCAGTTAGTGGGTGCTTCCCTAGAGCAGATGGCTGGAAGGTCGCCTGCTCTTGATGGGGTTACACTTCCTCTGGAGGAGCAGGTTCGTAGCTTGGGGGTTCTCCTGGATCCTTTGCTGTTGCTCGAGGCGCAGATGGCCTGGAGTGCCTTCCATCACCTTTGGCTGGTAGCCCAGTTACACCCCTATCTGGACAGGAATAGCTTATCTACCGTTATCCATGCTCTGGGAACTTCAACGTTAGATATAGATATGCCTTGGAAACTCACTTTCCTCTCAAATCTTTCTCATTTTTTATGTCCATGGAGCTTTCATGGCATAATACTGGAGTGGGTTGTCAGCTTCTTCACCAGGTGGATCACATTTAGTCTAAACTCTCGGCTGACCTGTCTGTCTTGGGTGACCCTGCATGGCATAGGTCATAGCTTCTCTGACTTATTCAAGCTCCTTCACCACGACAAGGCAGTGATCCATGAAGGGATATACACCTTTAAGTGCCATGCAAACATGTTCCTTTTTAACCAGGCTTTTGCTTGATATGTTTGACATCCTATAGTCTTTTTCAAAGGTGGCTCTTTTTTGGGGGGGGGTATTGGGTTGTTATGTTTATTCTGATTACATATGATGTGATCTTTTCTGCGAACCACGCTGAGTCCTCCGGGTTTAAGGCGGTATATAAACTCAATAAACAATAATACCATATTAATACTTTCATTATTGGTACCCCACGGATCTGACTGGCTTCCCCAGCCACTCTAGCTGGCTTCTAACAAATATAAAAGCATAATAAAACATTTAAAACTTCCCTCTACATGGCTGCCTCCAGTTGTCTTCTAAAAGTTATATAGTTGTTTGTTTCCTTGACATCTGACGGGATAGCTTTCCACAGGGTGGGCACCACTACCAAGAAGGCCCTCCGTCTCGTTCCCTGTAACTTCCCTTCTCACAGGGAGGGAACTGCCACAAGGCCCTTGGAACCTGGATCTCTGTGTCCTGACTGAATGATTGGTGTGAAGACGCTCCTTTAGCATTTCATCAGTTTGCCTTTTTATTCCATCAGGAGATGTTGAAGGGATGCTGGCAGAAGGGGAACAATCAGAAGTGTCACCCAAAGAATCCAAAGAGCAAAGGAAGCTGAGGGTTCAAGATGGAAGCCGAAGGCGAGAAGGGAGACGAAAGCAGAAGCCGGAGGGTGACTCTTGTACGTCTCAGGGTGGTGAAAATCAAATTCCTAGAGAGGAGAAAAAGCATGAATGCACCGTGTGTGGAAAGAGATTTGGTCGTCGCTCAACTCTTACTTTACATCAAAGAACTCATACAGGGGAGAAACCGTATACATGTTTAGAGTGTGGAAAGAGCTTCAGTGAACGTGGTACCCTTACCTCGCATCAAAGAACTCATACAGGGGAGAAACCGTATACATGTTTAGAGTGTGGAAAGAGCTTCAGTGTCAGTGGTACCCTTACCTCGCATCAAAGAACTCATACAGGGGAGAAACCGTATACATGTTTAGAGTGTGGAAAGAGCTTCAGTCGATGTGGCCAGCTTAGTACGCATCAAAGATCTCATACAGGGGAGAAACCGTATACATGTTCAGAGTGTGGAAGGAGCTTCAGTGAGAATGGTGCCCTTACCTCGCATCAAAGAACTCATACAGGGGAGAAACCGTATAAATGCTTGGAGTGTGGAAAGAGCTTCAGTCACTGTAGTGCCTTTATCTTGCATCGAAGAACTCATACAGGAGAGAAACCGTATACATGTTCGGAGTGTGGAAAGAGCTTCAGTCACATTGGTGCCCTTACCTCACATCAAAGATCTCATACAGGGGAAAAACCGTATACCTGTTCAGAGTGTGGAAGGAGCTTCAGTCGGAGTAGCACCCTTAAGTCGCATCAAAGAACTCATACAGGGGAGAAACCGCATACGTGTTTGGAGTGTGGAATGAGCTTCGCTCACCGCAATGGGCTTGCTAGACATCAACAAACTCATCAAGGCAGCAAACCTTATAAATGCTGGGAATGTGGCAAGAGCTTCAGTCGCATTGACAACCTTTCCTCGCATGAAAGGATTCATACAGGGGAGAAACGATATACATGTTTCGAGTGTGGAAAGAGCTTCAGCTACAGTTCCAGCCTTACCTTGCATCAAAGAACTCATACAGGGGAGAAACCGTGTACATGTTTAGAGTGTGGAAAAAGCTTCAGTCAGAGTAGCTCCCTTAAGTCGCATCAACGAACTCATACAGGGAGGAAATCTTAGAAATGTTTGGCGTATGGAAAGAACTTCAGTGGCAGGGGCTCCCTTCCTAAACAATAAAGAACTCGTACAAGGGAAACATCTTAGAAAGGGTTGTCGTGTGGGAAGATCTTTAATCATAACAAATAACTCCTACAGAGAGTAAACCAATGATCGTGTTCTGGTCCCCCCAGGACAGCCATTATTGTATTGGAAGAACTTTCTGACAGTAAGAGCTGTTTTGACATTGGAACAGTCTCCCTCGGTGGGAGGTGGGCTCTCCTTCCTTGGAGGTTTTTAAGCAGAGGTTGGATGGGCTTCTGCTATGGATGCTTTAGCCGAGATTACTTCATTGCTGGGGGTTGGAGTGGATGACCCTTTTGTTGTTTAGTCGTTTATTCGTGTCCGACTCTTCATGACCCCATGGACCAGGCACTCCCGTCTTCCACCACCTCCCGCAGTTTGGTCAGGCTCATGTTTGTAGCTTCGAGAACACTATCCAACCATCTCGTCCTCTGTCGTTCCCTTGTCCTTGTGCCCTCCATCTTTCCCAGCATCAGTGTCTTCTCCAGGGAGTCTTCTCTTCTCATGAGGTGGCCAAAGTATTGGAGCCTCAACTTCACTATCTGTCCTTCCAGTGAGCGCTCAGGGCTGATTTTCTTAAGAATGGATACATTTGATCTTCTTGCAGTCCATGGGACTCTCAAGAGTCTCCTCCAGCACCATAATTCAAAAGCATCAATTCTTCGGCGATCAGCCTAGATGACCCTTGGGGTCCCTTATAACTACAGTTCTATGATTCTATATACATCATCTGCTAGACAGCTGTTGTCACAAGCTTGGCAAATCCAGGCATATACTTGATCATCAGATAATGCCAATATTATTCACTTGGACTGTGCTGTTTGAATCCATGTACAATTCTAGGTGCCTATTCTATAGTTTTGCTTTTCATATCCTAATTTTCATCTGCTGTTACTTGTAGCGTTCCCAAAGCAAGGAAGGATTCAGAAGATCAGTAAAGGAAGGAAGGAAGGGTAGTATTCACCATCTCTTCCTGAACTCTCTTCCTGGCCCTAAGATCTATGTAAAGATTAACAAACTACATCAAAGTAACCTATGAACTTTTAAGACCTAGGGTGCCTAGTTCAGCAACTGGTCTGTGTCCTAGAATGCTTATACGTGCTTGTCAGACAGAGAGAAAAGGCAGTAGAGAAAAATGGTGTAGATGCAGAGGCTTGTGGGATTTGATCAGAAATTTTTGTCAATGAATCATAGAATCATAGAGTTGGAAGAGACCACAAGGGCCATCGAGTCCAACCCCCTGCCAAGCAGGGAACACCATCAGAGCACTCCTGACATATGGTTGTCAAGCCTCTGCTTAAAGACCTCCAAAGAAGGAGACTCCACCACACTCCTTGGCAGCAAATTCCACTGTTGAACAGCTCTTACTGTCAGGAAGTTCTTCCTAATGTTTAGGTGGAATCTTCTTTCTTGTAGTTTGGATCCATTGCTCCGTGTCCGCTTCTCTGGAGCAGCAGAAAACAACCTTTCTCCCTCCTCTATATGACATCCTTTTATATATTTGAACATGGCTATCATATCACCCCTTAACCTCCTCTTCTCCAGGCTAAACATGCCCAGCTCCCTTAGTGGGTCCTCATAAGGCATCGTTTCCAGGCCTTTGACCATTTTGGTTGCCCTCCTCTGGACACGTTCCAGTTTGTCAGTGTCCTTCTTGAACTGTGGTGCCCAGAACTGGACACAGTACTCCAGGTGAGGTCTGACCAGAGCAGAATACAGTGGCACTATTACTTCCCTTGATCTAGATGCTATACTCCTATTGATGCAGCCCAGAATTGCATTGGCTTTTTTAGCTGCCGCGTCACACTGTTGGCTCATGTCAAGTTTGTGGTCAACCAAGACTCCTAGATCCTTTTCACATGTACTGCTCTCAAGCCAGGTGTCACCCATCTTGTATTTGTGCCTCTCATTTTTTTTGCCCAAGTGCAATACTTCATATTTCTCCCTCTTAAAATTCATCTTGTTTGTTTTGGCCCAGTTCTCTAATCTGTCAAGGTTGTTTTGAAGTGTGATCCTGTCCTCTGGGGTCTTATCAACATCGTTGATAAAGATGTTGAATAAGACCGGGCCCAAGACAGAACCCTGTGGCACTCCACTAGTCACTCTTCTCCAGGATGAAGAGGAACCATTGATGAGCACCCTTTGGGTTCAGTCAGTCAGCCAGTTACAAATCCACTGAGTGGTAGCATAGTCAAGACCGCATTTTACCAGCTTCTTTACAAGAATATCATTTTGACATTGGAACAGTCTCCTTCGGTGGGAGGTGGGCTCTCCTTCCTTGGAGGTTTTTAAGCAGAGGTTGGATGGGCTTCTGCTATGGATGCTTTAGCCGAGATTACTTCATTGCTGGGGGTTGGAGTGGATGACCCTTTTGTTGTTTAGTCGTTTATTCGTGTCCGACTCTTCATGACCCCATGGACCAGGCACTCCCGTCTTCCACCACCTCCCGCAGTTTGGTCAGGCTCATGTTTGTAGCTTCGAGAACACTATCCAACCATCTCGTCCTCTGTCGTTCCCTTGTCCTTGTGCCCTCCATCTTTCCCAGCATCAGTGTCTTCTCCAGGGAGTCTTCTCTTCTCATGAGGTGGCCAAAGTATTGGAGCCTCAACTTCACTATCTGTCCTTCCAGTGAGCGCTCAGGGCTGATTTTCTTAAGAATGGATACATTTGATCTTCTTGCAGTCCATGGGACTCTCAAGAGTCTCCTCCAGCACCATAATTCAAAAGCATCAATTCTTCGGCGATCAGCCTAGATGACCCTTGGGGTCCCTTATAACTACAGTTCTATGATTCTATATACATCATCTGCTAGACAGCTGTTGTCACAAGCTTGGCAAATCCAGGCATATACTTGATCATCAGATAATGCCAATATTATTCACTTGGACTGTGCTGTTTGAATCCATGTACAATTCTAGGTGCCTATTCTATAGTTTTGCTTTTCATATCCTAATTTTCATCTGCTGTTACTTGTAGCGTTCCCAAAGCAAGGAAGGATTCAGAAGATCAGTAAAGGAAGGAAGGAAGGGTAGTATTCACCATCTCTTCCTGAACTCTCTTCCTGGCCCTAAGATCTATGTAAAGATTAACAAACTACATCAAAGTAACCTATGAACTTTTAAGACCTAGGGTGCCTAGTTCAGCAACTGGTCTGTGTCCTAGAATGCTTATACGTGCTTGTCAGACAGAGAGAAAAGGCAGTAGAGAAAAATGGTGTAGATGCAGAGGCTTGTGGGATTTGATCAGAAATTTTTGTCAATGAATCATAGAATCATAGAGTTGGAAGAGACCACAAGGGCCATCGAGTCCAACCCCCTGCCAAGCAGGGAACACCATCAGAGCACTCCTGACATATGGTTGTCAAGCCTCTGCTTAAAGACCTCCAAAGAAGGAGACTCCACCACACTCCTTGGCAGCAAATTCCACTGTCGAACAGCTCTTACTGTCAGGAAGTTCTTCCTAATGTTTAGGTGGAATCTTCTTTCTTGTAGTTTGGATCCATTGCTCCGTGTCCGCTTCTCTGGAGCAGCAGAAAACAACCTTTCTCCCTCCTCTATATGACATCCTTTTATATATTTGAACATGGCTATCATATCACCCCTTAACCTCCTCTTCTCCAGGCTAAACATGCCCAGCTCCCTTAGTGGGTCCTCATAAGGCATCGTTTCCAGGCCTTTGACCATTTTGGTTGCCCTACTCTGGACACGTTCCAGTTTGTCAGTGTCCTTCTTGAACTGTGGTGCCCAGAACTGGACACAGTACTCCAGGTGAGGTCTGACCAGAGCAGAATACAGTGGCACTATTACTTCCCTTGATCTAGATGCTATACTCCTATTGATGCAGCCCAGAATTGCATTGGCTTTTTTAGCTGCCGCGTCACACTGTTGGCTCATGTCAAGTTTGTGGTCAACCAAGACTCCTAGATCCTTTTCACATGTACTGCTCTCAAGCCAGGTGTCACCCATCTTGTATTTGTGCCTCTCATTTTTTTTGCCCAAGTGCAATACTTCATATTTCTCCCTCTTAAAATTCATCTTGTTTGTTTTGGCCCAGTTCTCTAATCTGTCAAGGTTGTTTTGAAGTGTGATCCTGTCCTCTGGGGTCTTATCAACATCGTTGATAAAGATGTTGAATAAGACCGGGCCCAAGACAGAACCCTGTGGCACTCCACTAGTCACTCTTCTCCAGGATGAAGAGGAACCATTGATGAGCACCCTTTGGGTTCAGTCAGTCAGCCAGTTACAAATCCACTGAGTGGTAGCATAGTCAAGACCGCATTTTACCAGCTTCTTTACAAGAATATCATTTTGACATTGGAACAGTCTCCTTCGGTGGGAGGTGGGCTCTCCTTCCTTGGAGGTTTTTAAGCAGAGGTTGGATGGGCTTCTGCTATGGATGCTTTAGCCGAGATTACTTCATTGCTGGGGGTTGGAGTGGATGACCCTTTTGTTGTTTAGTCGTTTATTCGTGTCCGACTCTTCATGACCCCATGGACCAGGCACTCCCGTCTTCCACCACCTCCCGCAGTTTGGTCAGGCTCATGTTTGTAGCTTCGAGAACACTATCCAACCATCTCGTCCTCTGTCGTTCCCTTGTCCTTGTGCCCTCCATCTTTCCCAGCATCAGTGTCTTCTCCAGGGAGTCTTCTCTTCTCATGAGGTGGCCAAAGTATTGGAGCCTCAACTTCACTATCTGTCCTTCCAGTGAGCGCTCAGGGCTGATTTTCTTAAGAATGGATACATTTGATCTTCTTGCAGTCCATGGGACTCTCAAGAGTCTCCTCCAGCACCATAATTCAAAAGCATCAATTCTTCGGCGATCAGCCTAGATGACCCTTGGGGTCCCTTATAACTACAGTTCTATGATTCTATATACATCATCTGCTAGACAGCTGTTGTCACAAGCTTGGCAAATCCAGGCATATACTT